TTTGGGAGGCTGAGGCGGGTGGATCACCTGAGGTCAGGAGCTTGAGACCAACCTGGCCAACATGGTTAAACCTTATCTCTACTGAAACTACAAAAAAATTAGCCAGACATGGTGGTGGACACCTGTAATCCCAGCTATTTGGGAGGCTGAAGCAGGAGAATCACTTGAGCCCAGGAGGTAGAGGTTGCAGTGAGCCGAGATTGTGCCATTGCACTCCAGCCTGGGTGACAAGAGGGAGACTCCATCTTAAGAAAAAAAAAAAAAGGAGAAAGCAAAGTTGTTAACTGTCCTATCATGCTACATTGAACCTTTTAGAAAACTTGGCATAATTTTTTTTTCTTGTTATCGTGTATCATAAATGCCAGTAATCTCCAGGATTAGCAACACAAAACTAAACCTCTCCACATTATCTTTCCTGAGTGGTGTTTTCTTTGGTGATTGCTTCCCTCCGCCACCTTAATTTTCAGAAGAACCGAAATAGTGACATCTGCACTGAGTTATTGTAGTATAAAACAGCTCAGAGGATCTAAAACTAAAATTGCTTTTTAGATATGAATGAAAAATTTTTTATAAGTCGTTGGGAGATCCTTGCTTTTGCCTAATATGGTAAAGGTAGTTGTCAAAAGTAACTACATATATATTTTATAGTTTACAGAAAAAACTAATGCCCTGCATTCTCCCTGGAAATCTTCTAACCAGCAGTTTTACTTAGGTTCAAAACGATTTATAGTTGACCTTCATAATCACAGATGCCCAACAGTATTTGTCCATATCTCTCTTATGAATAACATTCTGCTTGAAGTCCGGTTGTTTGTGTATTTGTCTTATCTCTCCTACAGATTGCTGAGTCCTCAAGAGTGAGAACAAGAACTTACTCATGTCTGTATCTTCCACAGGACTTGTGTTTTATAGGTACTAGGTTGTTTAATACAGTGTTTAAGTGAATTTATTAGGGGGAAAATAGCATTCCAAATTGTAAATTAGTAGGATTTGCATGAAATGGCTTTATCTTACTTGAACCTTTTTTAAGTTATTAATTCAGATGAAATGTGGATTACATTCTACACTCTCTTTACGCTTGCCGGCTCCCCAGGTACCCTTTGATCTTTCCTACTTAAGCAGCCTGGACCCTGGTCCATTAAAGTATTTCCACAATTGGACCATCTATTCCTGAACCAAGTAGGAGAGTTTCTACTTTGAATTCTCCTTCTGCATTTTAGAAATTAGGGGAATTCTGTCCTTATTGTAGATCACTTATGGATTATTAGATGGTACGTCTGTCATTATGTCTATCCCGGTGTGATTGTGTTACAATAAAAATCGAATCAACACAAATTTGAGCACCTCAGTTTTCTTGCCTGTAAACTGGGAATTTTCCTCCTTAAAACTTCTGTGAGTATGAAGTATGTTAAAGTGACTAGGTTGAAATGAAATGATTGTATAAATAGCACAGAGGTTAATCATCGAAACTTGGACTTGGCTTATATATGCACAATTCACTTTCCTTACAGTTTGGCTAAGATAGCTATTTTAAAGGCAACGTTAATACTAACTAAAGGAAAAACGAAGCCCAAACAAGAAGTTGCAAAAGCATAGGATTAGGCAGATTTTTAGAGGGCATACCCTTTCCCATCATGTAACTAAAATGTAGTCACAAGTTAGTTTTGCTGTACTTGCTTTTTGCCTTCACCT